CTAACTGTGTATCCCTACTCATCTGTCTTAAACCGACACCATTTCCTATTTGAGAAAGAGGTGAATACGGCGTAGAAGTTGGATACATATTTTGCCGAAATGGGGGCAACTCACTTGTCAAATCGATAAGTGGTTCCTCCAAATTAGCACCGGCACTGCCACGAAACTGACCATCAGTCTCGGACAACAAAGAACAATTTAGACCTAAATCTTCAGACATGTTTTTGGTAGACTACACTGAGAAAAATTGGAAAAAAAACAAACCCTTATCCTGGTCTCGGCACCAAATCTGTAATAGGCGCCTAGCGCGTGAGTGTTGTAAAACAGACGCCCAGTGACAGCAGAACGTTGTATATGTATGACAAGTGTCGGTTGGTTACTGAAGTAAAATGCTTTGCGTTGTGTTTGATAATTGGTCTCTTTACGTGGTCAGTACATCTTGTCTGCAAGTTCTGTGGGAATGGTTCCTGGCGGGTTCTCCCAATTCAACTCAATTAAAGTCAGAACAAAAGAATATTTAGGTTTCCATTCTTGTTTATTGTGAAAAAAACCGTATTAGTCTAAACAAGCCTACATATATCTACCTACCTAAATCCTACTTAAATACAGTTTAACTTTGGTTTATGTCCACCCCTAATACCTACTCCCGAAAACAACAAAACAAAACCTACTCATTCCTATACTATTTCTCCCCCTTCCCAAGCTAACACTAAATCAACACGACATCCCTAAAACAACAAACAATACGTGGAAACTTTAAACTTGGTCTTGATCCAAGACTCGAGTCGCTAGAAACTTACCCGATGCGGGTATCGGACGACTGACGATTCCCTACCTAGGGTAGGCCTATATAGTCGACATCGGGCCACGTGACTGGGGAAATCCAGATTTCGGCCAATGCGCACGCTCCTTGCATCTCTGCCCCTCAAGATGGCGGAGCATGCAAGAAGCGTGACATCGTCCTGTCTCCCCGGCCACGAGGTCCGCATGGGCCTAGGCTTCTACATATTTGACTACAAAGGTAGGTACTACGTCAGCCGCCCACCCAACTACCTAACCTACCCCACCCACTATGAACTTTTGTATTTAATAAAACTGCTTTTCAGTTGTATGTCGGAAATTAGATCAGTTCTATTTTCTCACAAGAGAACCCACCCAAGCTATTATGATTAACTTATTTGACAATGATTGATATTGTACAGTACAGACAAGTGGTGGGTTCTTTTGTTTGTCATATTCAAAACAAATCTGCCAACAAGCTTAAAAAATATTTCCTATTCTTTACTACTTCTTTGCCTATACAATGCCAAAGTCACCTTGGTAGCGTCTCTTATTCTCTTGATTTGCGGTGATATTCATCCTCACCCAGGTCCAATTAAAAATAATGAACTAAACATAATACACTTAAATGTGCGTAGCCTTAAAGATAAAATTGACATACTTGAGGCAGAGTTCGATCCTACGACGTCATATGTCTTACTGAGACATGGTTACATGATGGTATAAGTAGTAATGATATTTTAATTCCGGGTTTCCATTCACCTCTCAGAAATGATAGACAGAGCAGGGCGGGGTGTCGCAGTGTACGTTAAAAGTAAAATGAGTTTTGAATATATGGAGAATTTAACTTTAGCCGGGCTTGAGGCGATGTGGATAAAAGTAAGATGTAAAAAACGGAATTACTTAATAGGAACGTTCTATCGGGCAGACAAAACAGAAGCTTACTGGGATTTAATCGAAGATTCTATCAATAACGCTGTTGTTCTTAATATGGACACAATTGTAGTTGGTGACTTTAATATTAATTTACTTGCAGACACAAGTTATAAAATTAATCAATTACAACTGCTATTTGGACTAACACAACTTATAACTGAACCTACAAGGATTACGCCCAGTTCTAGTACATTAATTGATCTTATTTTTGTTTCAAGTGTTAGCACTGTACTAAAATCGGGTGTTTTAGATCCTGTATGTAGCGATCATTGCCCTGTATATGTCACCATTAATGAGTCGATTGCAAAATCGATTAATTACAAGAGAAAAATATATAATTATACTCTAGCTGATTTTGACGGTATTAAAAATGCCTTATATACTCTTGATTGGCATGCTTTCTTTGCCTCTGAAAATATTAACCGAATCGCAAGCGATTTGACTGGTGCAATTCTTAAATTATGCGATAGTTATATTCCAAATAAGGTCGTTACGATAAGGCCCCGGGACGCCCCCTGGATGAATAGTGAGGTACGTAAATTGATTCGTAAACGCAATCGCCATCATAAAATCGCAAAAAGGCGTAACTCATCATCTGACTGGGCACTTTTTAGATTGAGTAGAAATAAAGTTATATCCGCGGTAAGAAATGCAAAGAAGATGTACATGAATAAAATTGATGAACAAATAAATAATGAACATGGTACAAAAACATGGTGGCGTTTAGTTAAGAATTATATAAAAAGTAAACACACCACTAATATTAATACTTTTCCTTCGATAATCCAAAACGATAAACTATATGATGATAGTGCTGATATAGCAAACATTATGAATGATTTCTTTGCAGATCAGGCAAGAGTAGCTGCTCCTAATAGGGATATTCCTGAAATTCGTTTAGAGGTAGATAACCCATTATGTGACTTAACACTCAGTCCGCAAGAAATCCATGATATTCTCTCCTCTGTTGATATCATTAAAGCAACAGGCCCAGATGGTATAGGCAATAAATTTCTGAAAATGAATGCTAGACAATTAGCAGTTCCCTTATCTGAAGTTTTTAATCTATCATTAAAGAATACAGTGTTTCCTGATATCTGGAAGGAGGCATCAGTTGTTCCTATACATAAAAAAGGCAGTACAAATGAATGCTCTAACTATCGACCTGTCGCACTAACAAGTTGTGTAGCAAAGATTTTCGAAAAATGCATTTTTAAACATGTATTTAATTATTTTAGGGATAATGAAATGCTTACAAACTTACAATCCGGTTTCATGCCAGGCGATTCAACGGTTAATCAACTAACGTACCTGTATGACTTTATAGCGGGTGCATTAGATAGCGGTAAGGAAATTAGGGCTGTATTTTGTGACGTAAGTAAGGCTTTTGACAAGGTCTGGCATAAAGGTATTATACATAAGCTAAGACGTTATGGTATCGGGGGTAACTTGTTGAAATGGTTTGAGAGTTATCTAGACAATAGAGTTCAGCGAGTTGTTATTAATGGTTACGCGTCTGATCAAAGATCAATCCTAGCCGGGGTTCCCCAAGGCTCTGTCTTAGGACCATTATTGTTTATAGTTTATATCAACGACATCGTTGAAGGAATAAACAGCAATATCCGTCTCTTCGCAGATGACACATCACTTTATGCTATAATAAATGATCCTGATGAAACTGCTCTGTCTCTTAATAATGATCTACGTAAAATTTCTGATTGGGCTGACAAATGGCAAGTTACATTTAATCCTAATAAAACAGATTCTATACAATTCTCTCGTAAAGTTCAGCCCAGCCCAAAACGAAACTTAACAATGAAGGATGGTAATATTAATGACGTTAATAGCCATAAACATTTGGGACTTACTTTACAGCACGATTGTTCCTGGACTGATCATGTTAACTGTATCGCTAAAAAGGTTGCACCCATGGTAAACTGTCTTAGAGGTTTTAAATATCGTCTCTCACGTAGAACTTTACAAACAATGTACAAACAATATATCTTACCTATTTTCGACTATTGTTGTCACATCTGGGACAATTGTACCAAACAGCAAGCACTAACACTGGAAAAACTTAATCTTGATGCACTTAGAACGATTTGCGGTGCTGTTCGCGGCACGAGTCACAACAAAATTTATGATGAGACAAACTTCCAACCACTATGTACTCGAAGATACATCCAAAAAACTAACGTTTTTCTATAAGATGGTTAATAATTTTACTCCAAAATATCTGAGTGATCTCGTCCCTCCTAAGGTATCTGACACATCAAGCTACATTTTCCGAGACCGCTTGAAGCTCCAAACTATCGATAGTAAAAGTGCAAATTATGCTAAGTCATTTCTCCCAGATACAGTAAGATTGTGGAATTGTTTGTCTACCGATTATAGAGAAACGGCTACTTTGGGTAGTTTTAAGAAACAGATTAATGGGTCAAATAAGAATAATAGTCAAAATTACTTCAATTTAAGCTTTGGAACAAGATTCTGTCAGATTATCCATTCACGCCTCAGGCTCGGTTGCAGCGATTTAAACGCACATAAATATCAACGATTTATATCCTCAAATCCCTCTTGTTCTTGTGGCTACTGTTATGAAGATCCAATTCACTATTTCTTTTCGTGCGTTAATTACACTGACATAAGACATAAAATGCACTTCTATACTAAAGGATATGACATCAAATCAATACTATACGGCCACTCTCATGGATCTACTAAAGGTAATCTTGAATTATTAGAATCTATCCATTCTTTCATTGTACTGTCAGGCAGATTTGAGTTGTAATATATAAACGAAATTGCACTTACTATTAAGTATTTTCCGACACTAATGGTTCTAACGTTAAAAGTGGCATGTTACAGTTTATGATTGTTACATTTCCAGAAAGCTATTGTTTATTGTTTGTTGATATCATGTTTTTCTCCGTACGATTATTATATCTATAATATATCTGTATTCCGGAGCGGTATTCATATAAGCACCATACTGCTTGTTTACCAATCCGGTTCCTCTTTTGGAAATAAATATGTTTAAACCACAATCAACAAAATATATATACAAACATATTATATTGTGTGACATATGATACATACATGTTGTTATATTGACTAAATGAATATAAAGTCTTCTATATAAATTTATATCACTCTGGCTTATGGGTTTCATAAACCGAAGTTGTGAGAATTTTTCCTCTCCGGTATTTAGAAATTGTGTACGTACAGAGAGAAACTCGCTTATCCGGACCCCAGATGCCTGAACCCCCATCTACTGGACAATATTTACGTGAAACAAACTATACACAAGAGAAAATGTTTCTTTATTTCGGAAACCGAAACTCAATTACCAACAGTGCAAAATGCACACTGTAGCTAATGACTGTATCTCCTTTCTTGTGTCAAACAGCAAGAAATATAATGTTTAATAGGATAGCCGAAGTTGGTTAAAATAAACTCGTCCCTGATACATAAATATTGTCAAATGGAAGCTGCCATCTCAGAGATCACAACAATGTATTCTATGCACGTATTTCAACGACACTGGCAGTAAAAGTTAATAAAAACTCTGTTTCATGCTATCTTTTCTGTATATACTCCGTCTTATGTACATATTCATGACGTCAATCTTGTAAACATTTTGAGAGAGGGTACATGGAGGGGTGGAGTCCTTGGATGGGTGACCGTGTTTGGCAGCTTGGCTCCTGAGAGTTTCCAGGACTTCAGTCCTGCCCCACACCAAAGTACATGTGATACATGTGCTCTCACCTTAGGCAAGTGAGTTTGTTCAAAATTGCCTCTGTTCATCCAGCAGAAAATGGGTACCCGGTGGGATTAGTCATGTGACTAATAACCTAGCGTCTCACTGGCAGGTTGGGTTACCCGGGGTAATAATAGTCAGATTGTTAGCGCTATGAGCATCCACCAAGTGATTGAAGTTTAGAGCATTATGAATGCACAATTATTATATTATTATAAAGTAGTGAAAACCATTGCCCGTTCTTTTCCTGAGATTTAGATGATATTTGAACAGGGAACATAGCGCCCCCACTCTTTTGTTACTGGGTATCATTATGTCTGTTGTAGCTCTCGTAGAATCTGGACCCCTTCATGTGCTCCTCATACACCCTGTAATAGTCGTCCAGCATGGCATCAGTGAACCAATTCCTCCACTCCCCAGAGACGCCTGCAAGGAGAAAGTTTAGTAAATGTAGCGTTTTCCAAACTATGGGCCACATGGGATTATAGGTTTAATAGGGTATGTATAGGTTAATCACCCTTACAAGGTAGTTATTTAAATAAACTCTGCTCGGGCTAAAGCCGAACACGAGAACTCGCCAGCTTAAGTCTGGGCTAGTACAAGCATCCGCACATTTACCAATCTGATAAAGTCAGAACAGAACTACACAGAAATAACACTAATGTAGTTGCAGGGTGGTGATTGCATGAGACCTAGGAAGAATATCGCCTATGAAGAACGGCTAGACCGCGAGAAGAGACTGCTGCAAGATGGTGTCGAGACTCTACTTGCTTACGGAGATAGTGTATCTCACCTTGTGGGCCTATAAAATGAAGAATGCATGTGATATTGTGTATAATGTGATATTTTGTAATAATGTATGTTTGTATCATGATGATAGGGCTAATATTGCCTAATGGTTGTATTTCATAATACTGTTGGTGAGATTGATGATGATAATAATATGCATTTTGAATTAAATGAATGAATGAAGCCACAGTGTAAATTTTATGGGTAACCTAGTTACCCCGGACCATGTTACACAGGGTACAACTTACCCTGCACGCTCATTCATGTGTGTCCTCTAATCCCAGGTAATCCCCTGCTGGCTGCTGGCAAACTGGGGGTACACCCATACATACGCATGCACGTCGTCATATGAGCGAACTATTTTTAAGTACGACGTGAAACCCCATTTCACCTCACTCACCAAATAGGGCCGGTAAGGGTTCCAGTCAAAAACAGACAAACCGATGGCTGAAATCTTAAGCATGATGAAATAGACAGATAATTGTACACGTGAAACACCGTAACCACCGAATCCACACAAGGATCCCATAAGGATAGTGTGTCGGGTGGGATCTGGGTGGGGTGAAGATATTTGTGAGGAAGTGAGCTTTCGTGATATTATTCGTCATGCAGTAACGGCTGTTCTTAATGAGTGAGTGAGTGAGTTGAGTTTTACGCCGCACTCAGCAATATTCCAGCTATATGGTGGCGGTCTGTAAATAATCGAGTCTAGAGCAGACAATCCAGAGATCAACAGCATGAGCATCGATCTGCGCAATGGGAACCGATGACATGTGTCAACCAAGCCAGCGAGCCTGACCACCCGATGCCGTTGACCACTGGATTGTCTGGTCTAGACTCGATTATTTACAGACCGCCACCATATAGCTGGAATATTGCTGAGTGTGGCGTAAAACTAAACTCACTCACTCACTCATGATTTTTCAAACAATAAAACAACAGCAAACCTTTTCCGTAAAGATTATTTGCACCATCAACCTTCATTGCGTAGGCTTCTTTTTTCACTTTCATCTTGGAGAAGTGACATTCATCAGCAATAGCACAACACAGATCATCATCCCTTTGGAGACCCAGAAAGTCGGATAAAGCGCGCACCGTTGCAACTGGATCCTGAATAATAAGAACGTCATAGTTAAACCTGCACTGTTTACACCTGTTATACCACATTTACGTTCTGTTCTATGCTTCGATTGTCTTCATGTGGTCCAGTCCATAGGGCTCAGGTCACAAATTAGTTAAAGATAAGCAACGTCGAGAGCGGAGAGTCATTATATTAGTGACCGGATTTGGCAGCTTGAGTCCTGAGAGTTTATAGGACTTCTGTACTGTCCCACAACGAAACACATGTGATACATGTGGTCTCACCTTATGCAAGTGAGTTTGTTCAAAATTGTCTGTTCACCCAGCAGAAAATGGGTACCCGATGGGATACGTCCTGTGACTGAAGCAATCTAACGCCTAACAGGCAGCTTGGGTTATCCGGGGTAATAATGCACTGTGCTATTCATTGTTAGCGCCATGAGCATACTTAGTGTGGAGTTTGGCGCTATATAAATGGACACTATTAATAATCCCGAGTCGCCCCGGTTATGTTTCATGGCCTGCCAGAGCCACACCTGAGCACGTGGTTTTCATCAAAGCGGTAGGCGTGCTGCGTACTCCGGGTTTTGCTCCCACAAGCTGACACGCCGTGACGTCACTAAAACACTGTTCATAATATTCACTCACTGTATCCACCATCGTGCGGGCCTGTAGTATTCACTCACTTCGAAACAATTTCCTACATTTAACAAGCCGAGAATGTGTATGCATCTATACCAGTGTGAGCGAATGCACATCTTCTCTAATAGTCTAACCTTTTGGGTGTCCTCGTATAGCTGGTAGTGAACAGGTATGTCTGGGTTTTCTTGGAAATACTTCTCAGCATCCCGGACGTGTTCAAATATTCCATTTTTGTTTACTGCAAGTCAATAAAACATACATTTTAACATATCCACTGTTGATAACCCTCACCGAAATTCAAATATTTTCCGTTAAGCTGCACATTAAATTGTGAAAACTTCTTTCCTAAACCCCGTAAACGTGATCTTTGTATCGTTCTCTTAGAATACGTATAAATGTGAGATAAGGTGATGAGACTCACAACAATCCAACATTCTGGAATTTAAGTTTCGCCTGGCTCTTTACCGTTTCTACCGTTGATATACCATTTTAGGAACGTTTTCCATCCGACAATCTCTTTATCAACATACGTATTCTTATTGTAATTGTTTTAGCTTTCACAATTATTCTAAACCAAACCTTCACACCAAATTGGAAAAAATGACCGCTTTCTAAGCAAACATATTCAGGACGTCTTGATGTTCTGTGTATTTTCTTGTCCATTTTCAAAGCAGAGCAACCTTTCAGTTTCCTAGCGACTCCAATACAACTGAAGATGTGTGACTTGTCAGTGCAACTCCTGAGGAAGTTATTATAACTCTTAAAGAACGTAGGGGAACCTGAACTTGGATAGGAAGCATGAGCGTTAACAAACTTTTCAAAGACAGACATCTTGTGAACGCACCACCATTTCTCTTTACATCCCTAAACACATCCCATCGGGTGCACGTGAACAACGCAGTAGCCCCATACACGTGCACGGGTTTGTCATTCTTCATTTTGACGGTTTTTAGATAAATCACTGTAGACCATTCATTTTGACAATCATCTTGCAGCACACGGTTGTTAGTGTTTGTATCTAGCCGACTCTTTGTTTGAAAATGAAATTCGTGCACACGTCATATACCAATCATGTTTAAAGAGCGATTACTGTACAAACAACTATGGTCATAAGGAAGTGCAAGTGGTGATGCACTCTCAAAACATTCATTATTATCATATGAACATGTATTGACTCCAGTATGTCTCCCAATTAAGTTCCCATACCTTTTTGAAGAGTATATTTACTGGCTTCAATTTTAAGCCAAATGTTTCCAGCTTCCCAAATCCTAAACATTGCAGAAGAAAGAGTCACTAACCCCTTTGCTCCAAGAATAGCTGGAGGAAGTCTTCAAATGTTCCGTTGTACACGTTCCCACCGGCATCCCGATGGCCATGGTGCATCCTGTACAACGACACTGCCACGTCTTTGGGGTCGCGCATCGTGAAGATGACTCGGCACTTCTTCTCCTTCAGGTCCAACGGAGCTTGCGTCAAGTGGGCATGGCAGTTGAGGACTCGGGGCGAGGCTTGTTTGTCAAGGTCGCCAACAGTGGCTAGTTCTAGGTAGTCCTTAAACCGGGTGATGGTCTCAGCTTTGCCATTGATCAGCATGCAGGTCATCTCCCATATCCAATGTCCGCCTGGATCGAGAGATGAAGTGAGTGAGTGAGTGAGGTTTTGTATCTTACTATATGTTAGTTCACTCCGTGGGTGATTAAGGCAAGTGTGCCAAACGTAACATGGATGTGTACCCTGCATGTGTACCCAACATAACTTGCATGTGTACACAACGTAACAGTTATGTGCACCCTACGTAACAGTCACGTGTACCCAACATAACTTGCATGTGTACCCTGCATGTGTACCCAACATAACTTGCATGTGTACCCATCATAACATGCATGCGTAACCAACATAACTTGCATGTGTACCCAACATAACTTGCATATGTACCCAACATAACTTGCATGTGTACCCTGTATGTGTACCCATCATAACATGCATGTGTACCCAACATAACTTGCATGTGTACCCTACGTAACAGTCACGTGTACCCAACATAACTTGCATGTGTACCCAACATAACTTGCGTGTGTACCCTGTATGTGTACCCATCATAACATGCATGCGTACCCAACATAACTTGCATGTGTACCCAACATAACTTGCATATGTACCCAACATAACTTGCGTGTGTACCCTGTATGTGTACCCATCATAACATGCATGTGTACCCAACATAACTTGCATGTGTACCCAACGTAACAGTCACGTGTACCCTACGTAACAGCCACGTGTACCCTTCGTAACATGCATGTGTACCCAACGTAACATTCACATGTGTAGTATAACAGATCTCCTGTAAAATACATCAAAACATTCTTCCGTCGTGGAATTTGCTGATTTGTTTGGGCATGACGCCGAAAATGACAACGACATCTTGTGTGGATCCATGTCATGATACTGCTGGGGGAATATAGATTTGTAGTATTGTCTGACAATTAGCAACCTACAATGCTATACCTCCACTGTCCCCAAATGTCACCAGTGGCAGAAGTCCTATAAAATAGTGGAATATTGAGATCATCGACCTGTGCAGTCCATGGATCAATAACTCATGTATACAATTAGCAGTTCACCTTGATTGTTATTGGGATTTGATCCTACAGTGACATGTTTCAGGGGTGATCGTATTGATTTGGTGATGTCGCAGTAATGACGAGTGATTAAACACAAACACCTTGGTTGATTGATACTCAAAGACCAGCTGTATTCAAAATAATTTGTATAATTCATTATCACTGTTGGAGTCCGGTTAACTAAACTAGGATAAGTAAACAATACCGCTTAACTTAACGTTTTCTGACGGTCCCTGGAAGTAAATTACTTAACAAAAGAGACCGGATAACTAAATTAGCGATCAGCACATAATCCGACATGAGAGGCACGTGTCAGTCTCCGGCTAAACAAACATCCTACTTACAGCTCGCTGGCATCATGCAGTTGACAATACACTGACAACTGGAGGCCAGCCCTGATATGTTGTTCATAGTTTTATGTAGCTTGGTCATATTACTTACCAATGTTGTCTGTAATTCTGCTGTTTACATATACATGCATATGGTTGTCATTTGCAGGTTTTGATAAGTTTGGATAAGTAAAATACCTGATAAGTAAACAGTTTTGGCGAGTCCCTTGAAATTTTACTAATCAGGTTTCCACTGTATTTCCAACTGAGAAAGTTTCACTTCTTATAATAGTGTCAACCTTTTGTTGCTCAGCTCTTTATAAATTTAAATTCAATTTTGAAATTTGAAATGTTGTTACCATTGTATATCATACTGGTTTCTGTTAACTCCTCACCATGGACCCACTGATGGGCTTTTGTGTTGGATGTTTAATGTTTTATGTTGTTTTACGCCGCACTCAGCAATGTTCCAGCTATATGGCAGCGGTCTGTAAGTAATCGAGTTTGGACCAGACAATCCAGTGATCAACAGCATGAACATAGATCTACTCCATTGGGACACAATGACCTGCGTCCATCAAATCAGTGAGCCTGACCTTCCGATCCCGTTAGTCGCTTACAACAAGCATGGGTTGCTGAAGACCAATTCTAATCCAGATCTTCACGGGTCTCTTGTGTTTGAAGAAACAGTTATTCAAACTAAAACAGATACATGCCTTTGAAGAATGCCATGACCTGATCGTTTAACCTGATGTTTCAAATAAGATTCAATACTCACATAGTGCTGACAACTGAGAGAATATATCCAGCTTATAAAAACGTCTGTGAAGACAAAAGGCAAACAGAGCCAGAAATCTCACCTGTTCTTAGATACCCTGGGAAATAGATGTCATCAGGTCGGAGCTTGAAGTTCTTCACTCTGCCGGGATCTATGAAGCAGCCACATCGGACTCCTTCATACATTTGAAACATTAGACTTTCCCCATGTCGGTCTTTCTCCCAGACTATATCCTGCGCTGTCAGGTCAATCTCCAGGGCCTTGTCATTGATCTGAGGACATAGAAGGTGAAAGATACTGGTTGTGCATAGTGGAGATAGCTGACCCTTCTTGTCTCGAGCTGATATGACAGATGGTGAAATCCATCATGTTCCTGACACATATTACAGATTCTGTCGCATAATTTCTACAAAAGTTGTGGATTATCTCAGAGAGAGAGAGACACTTCTACACTCAATATTTCACATGGAAAAAGGCCCAAGACAACAACAGCCATCGAATCTCCAAACTCTAAGGATCGAAAGGGTACCTAACCTTAAGGATCGGAAGGGTACCCAACTCTAAGGATCGGAAAGGGTACCTAACCCTAAGGATCGAAAGGGTACCTAACCTTAAGGTTCGGAAGGGTACCCAACTCTAAGGATCGGAAAGGGTACATAACCCTAAGGATCGGAAAGGGTGCCTAACCCTAAGGACAGTAAGAGTTGTTTCCTCTAAAGATGCGTCAGCTCCTTAAGGATCGAAAGGGTACCTAACCCTAAACCGGAAAGGGCTGTTTGCCTCTGAAGAAGTTCAGTTGTATAGAGGAGAGCACCGAAGCGTGAGTCGAGCAGCGATATAGCGAGACTGTGGGCTCGCTATAGTGCCATAATTGCTCCGCGACGGGCAGTCATCCCTGGGCCTAGATTTTCTAAGCTCTGTTAGCGCTAAGATAGTCATAAGTTAATGTTAATGTATGGCAATTGACTATCTTAGCGGTAAGAGAGCTTCGAAAATCTAGGCCATGCCGGTTGCTGAGCCCGGTAAACTACATTCTTGTCGATATTATATCAGTATTTCAAGGTCAGTGGACGAAAGCAGAGACCATATTATATGGTCTCTGACGAAAGGCATTGGTCCATGAACGCACACGTGACCTTGATTCACTTGTATCGTAGGCATTTTGGAACAGGATTTATCAGGGATATTTATAATATTCCTTGAGTTATGTAAATTGAATATCTCTTTAAGTAATGACCATGCTGTCAATAGAAATGAAATCAATGCAGCTTGACCATTGTCATCATGGCCACCATCATAGAGTCATTAGCTGCATATAATCAAAGTTAGACAATGGCTGGTTGGCCACTGAAGCTAGCATTGTGGTAGTCTGTCGTACAGACCCTGGAGCAAATATATCCAAGAAAGCCCACGCAAGTCTATAAAATGTGGCAAGTCTAGATTTCCTCAGCTTCTGAAAATGGCTCTGAAAAGGGCTCCTTTTCATTATATTATATTTTTTTCACTATGAACTTTTTTCAGTAGAATATGTTCATTTCAGAGACTAGTTGTTAGTCTAGGCATTGTGGATGAGGTGCTTGATACTGCAGGCTGACCACACATCTGTCGCAAATACGGCACGTAACAGTGTGGTGAGGATTCGACCTAGACTAACAACTAGTCTCTGAAATGAACATATTATACTGAAAAAAGTTCATAGTAAAAAAAAAAATATAAATGAAAAGGAGCCCTGAGACTTTCTTCATTTTCAGATCTAGACTTGCCACATTTTCTAGACTTGTGTGGGCTTTCTTGGATATATTTGCTTCAGGGTCTGTACGAGAGACTAGATTCGACCCTCAGGGATAAATTGAGAATGCTTTGTGTTAGTCGAGACTTGACCCTGAGCCAGCGCGCGGCTAGGCAGGCTGGCAGACCATCGCCTCCCCAATGCCGCCTAGCCCTTGTTATAACATCATGTAATTATACACATTGAATCACGAATACAGTGTTGTGGACCCACTGATGGACTTCTGTATTTGAAGACACAGTTATCCTTTTCAGCTGCCCGGGATACATGTGTCCTGGTACTTGCCTAACATTCAAAGTCTTAGCAAGACGCATTCTGTTTGTCCGCTTTGTTTAAATCGCACAACACGAATCTACAATTCACAACCAACAAATTCTAACGGCACATGTTTTTGGTACACGGTATAGTCCCACCACGCACCCTGTTGGGCCTTAATGTTAATTTGTAGAACACGGCAGCGCTGACAGCCAGCCAGAGACGTTCGCACAATAGTATATGAGGTACTCAACTGCTACGTCCTTCTGCCGAACTATAGAGTCACAAACATGTTTCATACAGCTGGTAACTCTGCCTTTACACCCCAACGAGATGTCACAGACAAAACCATCATAACGTGACTTACTGAATATGCGGCTTGCTTGCTCTCTGTCGCCATGTCGTACGCCTGAGAAGAGCCGAAGTGTGCCTGTAGAATGCGGCTGCGATCTCGCTGCGGGCAAACAGGTCGAGCGAATGTGATGTGCACAGGGTTTAACGACGACGAAATTGGAGGTTTAACGTCGGCTTCTGGCGAATTTGGAATAAAAAGCGTTTAAAACATAGATAAAGATAAGAAAATAATAAAAAGCCAAGTTAAATAAGGGAAAAGGAAATAAAAGTTGATAAGGAATAGTGGTTGTTAATAAATAAGAGGTAGAATTGAAATAGACGATAGGTGAATATAAAAGGGGTAGGGGGGGGTGTATTAAGTATTAAGAATGCAAAGCATAGGGGGCAGATATTTAATGCAGTTAAGCTGCATAAGTTATATATAGGGGCTATAAGGGATGAATAAATAACAGGTGTTGGGTTGGAGGGGATGGGGGGGTGAGGGGAGCAAGTGAGGCGTAGAGAGGCAGAGGCCGGGTTGAGGAACAAACGGTGTTGTTTGGCTGGCTGGCGGGTGACCTTGACCTTGGCAGTGTGGGCTTGTGACGGGTTGTTTACATTTAGCGAGAGGGGAGAACGAGCGTGGCGTGTGCAGAGTATGGATAAATGAACATGGGAGCCGTGTCTGAAATTGTAGGGGGGCAGAGTGGATAATCGAGGTTTAAATGGCTGGCCTGAATGTTTGAGTAAGTGGGAGGTGAGAGAGGTAGCTGTAGTTTATTTAATGAATTTTAGATTCTTTTTAGAAGGTTTGAATTTTGTAGGAATACTGATAGGGCGTTGAAGATACTTGTTGGGTTGTGGGGGTTGAGGAGTAGTGGGATGTTATTGTGGTATTTAGAGGGAATGTTGTTTTGTAGTTGCTTATGTTGGTCTTTTGTAGCTGGCAGTGTATGAGTATGTGATTTATGTCTTCTTGGGTATTACAGTGTGTGCATAATCCATCTGCATGTCTGTTTTGTTTGTTAAGTGTGTGGTTGAGGTTTGTGATGCCTGTGATGAGTCTGTTTATGGCTGTGTCAATATTTTTAATGTTTGAGAATGTGGGAATTTTTCTTAAGGGTGATTTAATAATGGAAGTAACCCATGTTGATTTGTTGTTGTTTATGTTGTGTTGGAAGTCAGTGTGAAGGATATTTGATTTTATGAGTTGTTTAGTTTCTGATTTGGATGTATGAAAGTTTATATTTGGTGATTTTTGTGTTGTTGCTAATTTGGCTGCTGTATCTGCTGTATCGTTTCCTAATATGTTTGAATGGCCTGGTATCCAGGTGAAAGCTATGTTTTTATTTGCTCGTTTAAGTGAGTCGGTTTGGATTGTGATATTGTGAATGAGATCAGGGCGAGATTTGGAGTACTTGTTATGTATTTGCCTGATGGAGTTTAGTGAGTAGGAGAGAATTAAGAAGTTAGATTGTGGGAGGGTGGGTATTAGATGGAGTGCAGTGAGGATAGCTGTTAGTTCTGCTGTGTGAATTGAGGTATGGTTTGTATACAGCAGGTTGGTTGTAATGGGGGGGGGTTTGTTGGACATGTAGGCCTATACCAGTTGTTTTGTTTGGGTTGATTGAAGCGTCTGTATATATATGGGTGTGTGTTGGGTAGTTATTGTTTATATAGTTGTTTGTAATGTTTGTTATGGTGGATTTGTTGGTGTTTTTGGTAATTGCTGGAGAATGTTGTCTAAGGTGGTGTCTGTGGTGGGTGGGGGTATGTCGAGGATGTAGCTTGTAATGGGAGGTGTGTGTTGTATGTCGCTTAGCTGTTGTGCCTGTAGTAGTTTATGGAGGTGGGTGAGGCATGGAGCTTTTAGGGATTTAATTTGAATTTCTTGAGTGTTGATTTTCTTATGTTGCTGTATTTATGTGTGACGAGTTTAAATAGTGGGTTATGTTGGGCCCCAGCCCAGTAAGTGAGTGTTGTTTGGTTGATTCTTTGTGTGAATGAAGTGGTGCCTGAGAGTAGAAGTAATGTGTTTAGGGAGGTGCCAGCCCTCGTGCCTAGGGCTAGTTTGAGGGCTTTATATTGGATGGAGTTTATTTTTTGGAGGTTACAAGAGGAGAGGGAGTGGAGAATCGGGGCGGCGTAGTCCAGTTTTGGCAGTATGAGGGTTTTGTATATGTTGATGAGTGTGTGTTTGTCGGCACCCAGTTTGTGCACGCTGATGGCTCTCATTAAGTTAAGATCTTTTTGACAAGAATTGACCAGGTTGTGAATGTGGGGTGTCCATGTCATATGTTGGTCAAATGTTATTCCTAAGAATTTTGCTTCCTTTTTGAATTCAATTTTTTGGTTATTTAGGTGTAGTTTGGGTGTTGAATTTTGCATTCGTTGTGTTTTGAAGAGTATGCCCACGTTTTTTTTAACGTTAATGAGAAACCCCCACTGTTGGGCCCAATTTTGAATATGATTAAGCATTTTTGGGCATTTTGTAGAGGCTTGTTTTACAGACGTGGAGGAAGTCCAAAAGAAATATCACAGCAAATTTGGCTTTAGAAATCTCAGGCCATTTATCTGGGAATATGTCGTTTATCATGAAATTAAAAAGTGTTGGTGATATTATGCTGCCCTGGGGGGTCCCATGTTCTAGGGGATGGGGGTCCGAGAGGGTGTTGTGCGATTTGAGGATTATCTGTCTATTATTGAGAAAAGAGTGAATGAAATTAAGAATTCTGCCGTTAATGGCATATTTTTGGAGTTTTTGTAAGAGGCCGTTTTGCCAAACCATATCAAATGCTTTACTAAAGTCGATGAAAATGGCCATAGTGTATTGTTTCTGTGCATGGGCTACCTTGATGTCTTGTTCCAAATGTAAAATATGGTCTAAAGTTTGCCTGTTTGGAGTAAAGCCGCTTTGGTCCTCCTTAATTAGATTTTTAGTATATATGAGGTGTTTGAGCCTGTTGTTAATGATGCTTTCTAAAGTTTTACATAGATGAGAGGTGAGGGAGATAGGGCGATAAGAGTCAGGCTCATTTTTAGGTTTCCCTGGTTTGAGAACTGGCACCACCTTGGCTATTTTCCATGTGTTTGGGATAGTACCTGAGGTCCAGATATGATTAAAGAGGGTAAGTGTTAAGTTTTGCATGTTAGGTGTTAATTTGTTCAGTATAGTGTATGTAATGGTATCTGGACCCGGGGCTGAGGCTGTGTGTTTGTTTCTGAGAGCAGATTTGAGTTCATGTATGTTTATTATTTTGTTTATAGGTAGATCTGTGTGTGTGGTTGTGGGGTGAATGGGGCTGCTTTTTCATGGTGTTTTGAAAAGAAGGTGGTAGTTGGTGGAGCTGCTGACGGCCGAGGTGGGCAGCAAATGCATTTGCTCTGTCTTTATTTGTGGCTAGGTCCGGAAGGTTTGGGTAAATAGTTTTTGGAGATGCCTTTTATGGCGTTAAATTTTTTCCACATAGTTCTGGAATTTCGACTTGTTAGCTTAAGGGAAGAACAGAATTGTTTCCAATGGTCATTTTTGCTGCCTCTATTAATTTCTTTGTTTTATTTCTTAGTAGTCTTGCCAAATGTAATTTCGAACGGTCGCTCTTTGATTGATTAAGGGCCTTTTTCTTGCCTTTCTGGCGATGATTTCTGTACTCCACCAAGGGACTGTTTTTTGTGTAGGGTTATACCGAAAAGTTGGGATGCATTTTTTTGAGATGTCAAGTATGGTGCTAGTGAGGTTTGTGTTGAAAGTGTTTATGTCTGTGTTAAATATGGCTGAAGTGTCTATTTGTTTACAAAGTGTTGAGAATTTGCTCCAGTTTGCCTTTTTAATGTTGAGTCGTAGTTCTGTGTGTGGTTGTGGTGAGGTGGTAGTGGGTGTGGTGTGGGTGGGTATGTGTGATGTGATTGTGATTTTAATGGGCAGTGGTCACTGCCCCAGGTGTCAGTGTGGACCTCCCATATACAAGATTGTGTAAGTTTAGGTGTAGTGAATGTAATATCTATTGCTGTGGGTGAGTATAGGTGGGAGAGTGGGTATCTTGTGGGTTGGTTGTCGTTAAGTGAGCTTAGATTGTGTTTGTCTAGCCAGTCGGAGAGACGAGTCCCATTTGTGTCGGTGAAAGGTCTAGTGCCCCACAGTGGATGGTGAGCGTTGAAATCTCCGAGGATAATGGTATATGGGCTTATGAATTTGGATAGTATTTCTAAATCAGTAGTAGTGATTTTGTAGGTGGTTTATGATGGTAAATTCTTTATTATTTAATTTTGTTTTAATAGCCAGGACTTCTAGATCTTGGGTGGGGATGTCAAAAGTGGTATAGTTTAAATGCTCTGTTATAAAGAAGCCCAGGCCTCCGGCAGGGGGGCCTGGGATATTTATTGGCCGAGGTCTATCTTTCCGAATGAAAATATAGCCTGGTATTTTGAAGGCATTTTAGGTGATAGTTTGGTTTCTTGCAGAGCGATTATTTGGGGGAGATTTTATTTTGGGCGATGAGTGCCTTAAGTTCATGCCCATGCACTCGGAGTCCGTTGCAATTCCACTGTAGTAAAGCCATGGTTGCAGAAATTTGTAGCAGTAGATTAGTAAAGACCATGGGATGGGGCATAATTTGCAATAGGATGTTGTTGGCTAGGGCAGCTTAGTGGTTGATGGATTTAAGATAGGTTTTGATGGCGATAAGGAGACTGGCTAGACCCTTGTGGTAGAGTTTGAGTTTGTGGGCGAGGGTGTGGAGTTTCTTAGCGGTGGGTGATTTGAGTAGAATGGCTGCAGATATGAACTCTATGAGTTTGTTAAGGTTTTTGATTTAATTTTTGTGGTGTGAGCGTGAGGTTTGGTTTTTTGCGGGAAGCAGTGTGTTTTTGGCTGTGTGGAGGTGAGGTGGGATAGCTTGGGTGGGGGTGGCTTGGGGAGGGTGGTATTTGTAGGTGGGGGTTGGTTTGTGGGCTTGGGGGTGGTGGGGCAGTGTTTGGGCGGAGTTTGGGGGTTTGGGTGTGGTGGGTGTGGGTAGGAGTGGTTGTTTAGGTTTGGTGGGTTTTGGGCGTGGTTGGGTGGGTGCAGGGGGGTTAGTTTTGGTGGGTGGTGGGGTTTAACCTCACTCCCCCACATCTGAATGTATGGATAAGGGATCCGGAGGTCACTGGACTGTGGATGTGGGACTATGGTCTGTTCTA